GGGGGGGGGGGGGGGGGGGGGGGGTGCCAGAGTTCAAGTCGCGAGACTCGGAGATCCGAATCTCAGTCACAGCACGAAGCACCCCACGGTAAAACACAAAGACGGAATAAATTGCGTTACACATCGGCCGACGACGTATGACGACAGCGTGATAGTCGCAGCCGCCGGGGGGCCTTTTCTCTCTATTTTAGGGCAATCTGCAGCTGCGTCGACTTACAACCGTTTCGGGAACGACCAAGACACTCTCCCGTCGTCTCTCTCACTGGCGACCGCTCCTCCTCAATTAAACGGAGAGACCTACCTCCCTAGATCTCTCCTCGTTCCAATACTCGCATATAGGCATCGAAATCTACCGTTTCTTTTTCTCTCAATCACGTCGGCCGGACACTCTCTCGACACGAAAGAGAAACATCGAGGCGCATTCGAACGGCGTTACGGCCGCAAAATTTAAAGGCAAGCTTAGAAAAAAAAAAGAGGAAAAAAATAATGGAAAAAAGGCCGTGATATCAACGCAGATCGTTGACAGCGTGTCGTCTACATGTGTACATGCGCGCGCGTGCAAGGACCGGGGAAAATCGGTCTCTGTGTCGTCCACCTGAAATGGCATCATGCGCAATCCGATTCCAGAGAGTTCGCAACGATGGAAGCAAGTCGAATTGCAGCCACACCGACGTACTTCAGCCGTCCGTTGCTGCTTCCTCGTTGCGTTATTACGTATACCGCAATTTGGTCGACACTTGATTGACTTAATCGAAATAATAAAAAGAAAGAAAAAAGATACATATGCAACTTTCGGTTTATACGCATGTTACTATCCAGGCATCGAGGAACGCCGTCGAGAATTTCAGTTCGACGGAACAAAAAAACAGAACGATTCTACTGTTACGAGTCGATCATTTACACGTATTTCGTCTCTTTCAGCATAATTTGTCCGTTTTCTTTGTTCGGGGATAACGATGGTTATTTGGTTACCGAGTAATCTTCTTAGTTTAATATTTTTAACCCTTCAGTTCAGCGTACGAGGATACATTCTCCTTTTGCGATATTATGTAAGAAAGGTGGTTTTATTTTACAACCGTGTCCCGAAGATAGGCGCGCACGAAAGTTGTCGGTTAAATTATATTTAAGAAATTTGTCGATTATAAAAAATGCTGTAGAGATCTTGAGGGATGCGAAGTATCGGTAAGACGCAAGCGCAATGTCATTTTGTACAGAGTGAAGGTCCGTTTTGTAGTTTAAAATAATGAGTTCACGAATAGATCATACTTTTTGTTTTTCATCATATTTCGTAACTGTGGATTTTTAGTTCCGCATATTCGTTAAATAAATAAACGTTCACGATTTTGCGTTTCGACGCGGTACGAATAACGTGAAAATTAAATTAAAAGAAATTCGAGCACTGCTGCAACATGTTTTATGTTAAACTATGTAATAAAATACGTATGAATAAGGATGATACCCTGCACCTCTCGAGAATCATGTAAACTGCACTTCATTGCATTATTTCGGTTGTAGTTTTCAGTTTTAAGATACACCTTCCATTCTTCTTTTTATGTTACAACAAAAATTTTCACTGTTGGAAGATATTTTAACGTGTGATAAATTTAGAATTGCTTTTCCCTTAGCAAGAAGTTGATTAATGTTACGTATTAGATATTAATTTAATTTCGTTTAAGCCTTCTAAAAATGAAGATGTAGAAAGATGAAGAAGACCCACGAAGAAAACTTGCTTATTTTCTTAAAATATTTAGAATTATAATATTGTATTTTTCCGTGTCGATAGTATGTGTATTCTGTATATATAATATATTCCATTAAATAAAACTTACAAGAATAGCTTTTTAATGTTTTGTAGCGTACCTAAAATATATTTTTATTTCATTAAGTATATATATATATATATATAACAGGATGAGTATGTAATCCCATTACATATATCTTTTTATAATAGTGACATTATCCCCTACGCGAAAATAATGAGAATTTCAGATAAGATTAAAATTATTAATCAGGATCTTAGATAAGATTACAGAACAATAAAATGAAATGATATATCTAGTAGTGATCACGATAAAAATTATGATTAAAAAAACTTTTTCTTGGAAAAGGCTAAGTTAATTAACTATCACTGCGTACATAAGCAGTGACGATTTTATATTTAAAAAAAACTTACCTTTTATCGGTTAAAAAAATTATTTCTAAAATTACGCAATTATACATATATAGTATACGTAACGTCTTATAATAAATAATGAAACGTCTCATAATTCTTTACGTAGGCATAATTCACTAAAGTGTATGATAATATAACGAAAAGTATTTGATTAGGAGTAGAACTTATTGCGGATGCAACATTACTATCTTAATCTCACGAGGTAAAAAGTATAAGCTCTTATATCTTTTTACGATCTTTGTACTTAGGAAATAATAATTTTTATCTTTCTTTACGAAGGATTTCTCCAGGTTTTATTGCTAGTACAGAAAGACATTTATGTAAATCCTGCTTAATTCGTTGTTAGGTACGTTTTATAGTATAAGTCAAATAGTTAAGGGCGAACTCCGTGCGATTAATAATATCATAATGGAAACATGAAGAAGAGATTCACCATGTGAATGCAAAACATGTTGTACAACTTATTTTGTACGAATGTTTTACATGGTTTCTTTATTTATTCTGTAAATTCAGGGTCATGATTTACTTACCACCACAGTATATTAGACTCCGAATATACAGTGAAAGCAAAATCGCATAGGAATTGTGGATATTAATAGAGATATTTCAGTAAAATAATTACGGAGTGCTCGCAAAAACGATAGACAGCTAAACGAGGCTGTAGTAGAATCAGAACACTTCCCTCCTGAATTATGAACTAATTTTATTACATGACTTAATGAAGAATTACCTTCTGACTTTAGAAACTTCAGAAACTTGAGATACTTCTTTCTTCTTTGCTCTTTCTCTCTCTCTCTCTTTCTTTGTCTCAGCTAAAACGTACGACGAAAGCTAAGAGTTGATGAGAACAAAGACGACCGAGCAGCAAACCATCAGTGAAGAACAACGAAATGTGGAAGTCGAAAGAAGTAGTTAACTGCACCATGTCATTGTACAAAATCCATCGAAGAGGCCGAATCTGTTCTTGTCACCTAACACACACTGAGTGGTCTAAAACCCTGCAACATACACCAGTTTTCCCTCACTGTAACAACGCCCCTTACCTAAATTTTACAGCAATCATAAATATCTGCATTTAACTTCTTATCTGGATAGTTATCTGCCAAATTACACACGCACTTACATATATGTGTATGTAATTTTTGAGATCTGCAAAATGCTTTTATTTTCGACACCAATATCTTTACAACAAAATATTATATATCTCACAAAAAAATGTGACAAAGAAATGACATTCTAGAATGGCAGAGACTAAAGCTATATTTTAGTTAAAAAAAAAAAAAACCGCAAATAATGGATTTAATGTTAAACATTATACTTTACGGCTTAAGTTGTCGTAACATAAATATTATATAATGAGTAAAGAGAATTATATTCGATAAAAAAAATCAGGCGTAATGTGCCGAGTGCCAAGTTTACAGTTACCGGAATAAATATATATCGAATCGAAATTATTGTAAACATCGTGCGACTTTTTGATAGCTAATCTACATAAAAAATTCTTTAATGTCACATATCTCGTAATAATATCTGCGTTTCACTACGCCATACGCATTCCATACGCCATATTGTAAACGTTTCGTTGGCAAAGAGGCGGACTCTCTAACAAGACGCGCAGTAAAAAATTTCGTAAATCGACAAGTACGACTGTGCGATTAAGACAGGTTTTACGAGGAAAAAATGAGTTAGGAGAGAGAAAGATTCGCTTTAGAACTCACGCGAAATAATAAGAAATGCGGTAATTACATCGCTTCAACATATCCGCCATTAAGGGCGTAAACGAAATATTGTATAGGACAAAATATCAGCGCGATACGCTAGTTATATTCTCACTCACCGAAATTACTACGCGGAAGTGAAGTATTTCATGACGAGGACGATGATTACGGACGATGGAAACAATTTTTCACGCGACAAGCTATCGAACTTGTGCCTCGATGTAATCTTCGAGTGCCCTTCCCTGCAGCGTGAAGCTCGCTCGAAAAATGCTGTCGTTGCCGTGCATTCAGTCGAGTGGACCCCGTACACCATTGACTACGGAACCATTAGATGCGACTTCGTGCCCCTGCGCCGTCATGTAGCAGTTGTTTCGATCCTTCACTTTTACGAAAGTAAAGCCAGCGACACGCGGTGTTTGTTTTCGCACTGGATCGCTTGCACTGCGTTCCGAATGTGTTGGTGTGTTCCCATCCATTTTCAGAAACGCGCCAATCAGAACTCGGTATTTCCATCCGGCAAGCGGTCCAATTGACCAATCACAATTAATTAATCACATTAAATTCGACAGTGGTTGGTCAATTTCTTAAGGCTTAAGGCTTAAAATACTTATTGCGGACCGATACTCATGGATCCAAAAGAATGCCTCAATCGGAGGCATTAACACTCAAACGTTGTGTTTTCGAACGCACCCGTCGAACGGACAGATTCAATTGGTGCGCGCGCCCGCCACGGAATTACATATTTTCAGTTTGTACTGCGACCGGCGGCAAATCGTTCGCGCGTGGCGTTCGTTCTTCGTTCGCGGCGTTTCCGACGATTAGACGTACACGGAACGAAATGGCGATGGCAGCGAGCCAAGTCAAGGGTAGCGGATGGCCACGGCGGGCGAGTAATAGCTCGTTCGAGGGGAAAGTGGTGCAGAATCAGTCTGTGACCATCAACAGAACTGTCAATCTGTAAGTCGTAATGTAAGGTGTGGTTTAATTCACGTTTTACTATCTCTCGGAGTTCATGTATATTCTGACTCTCTGTAGAACAACTATGGCCGATGAAGAGACGCTAGCAATTAAAATTGTGCTCCTAAAGCTCTTTCGTTACATCTTAAACGGTATAACCATGAAGCGGCTGTTCATCTTCCTTTTAAGCACGAAGGTCTGAAATTTTAAGCAATTCGTATCAACCAATCTTTACATTTGTATAGCCAGTACATTTTGTTTGTCATCAAATCGCGTGAGAGTAATATAACTAATGTGTCATGTATATATATAAAGTAAAAAATCATTGTGACTTGCACATCACTGACAGTATCGTGCAAATAATAGCAGTGAATATTCATGACGATATCACTTGCTTAGAATTCTCGATCTTCTTAGGGTAATATCTTATAATATCTTAGTACATATATCTTATTCGCACGAACTATTACTCTTGAGGTGTATCAACATTTAATTCACATAAAGCGTCAATCATGTCCTCTCCACAATGTCGTTGTAAACTAATATTGTCAAATCTATATACTCGTAGTAGTTACTGTTCTTAGTTTTCTTTTGCACAATATGAAATCGATTGTTGATTCGTAACGTGCGTGCGAGAATGGAGAGAGATTTCCAATTCTGTGTCACCTTTTCGGGTTTAACTATCAAAAAAGTGCAGCAAATACATATATATCTTAGGAAGTCTCATATGCACGATCAGTCAGATGTAAGTTGAGATTAACAAGACTGTGTTATTTTCTAAGTTTGTATAATCTGTGATGCTCAACGCTAAGGAAATCATATATGTTTTGCTGATAATTTTGCTCTTGCATTTCATGGGTTTGTTCTTTTTAGCTGAATCTTCTGCACTAGTGTAAGAAGTATATATTAGAGTGTCATTTTTCTTGGAAATGACATCAAGTATTACTGACCTTTTTGTAAAAGCAATTTTGAATATCAGTGAGATTCATTTAATTGAGGAATACATTTTATTTATAATCTGAAATTAAAGAGGTGATAATCTTAAAAACACAATGTACACAGATACAAATATTATATATATATAATATATATACACATGCATACATATATACATATGTATATAATATATATGTAAATATGTACATTGGGTAAAGTATGATTGATACAAATATGTACTAAAGTATATAGTAATGTATAATTTATATATATATATATTATGAATTTATTTTTTATTGGTGACATATAAAAATTATAATGTTATGTTGATATTAATATATTTTTATCCTTCTTTATATTTCTGTTTTTATCAAATTTTATATTGCCTTGCACGACCTACTTCTGTTCCAGTGCAATCCCCTCGCAACTAAAAAGAACAGGCCTCATGTAAGATATATTTATATGTATATGTATTTTATAAAAATATCAGAGTTTATAGTCATAATTATATTATATATATTTAATGATTATCTTAAGATAGTATGTAATGTAATGTATATATATATATATATTTATATATATATACACATATTGCGTATATTTTGACTAGTTTGTTATAAGAGGATAATAATGGATTCTATAGAGAATATTGCAATGTTAAAGAATAATGCCTAGTTCAGCAAGTGGCTAATCGATATCTTGCTTTGCTGAAAATAACATATAACTGGAAATTATTTATTACTATATTACTTTTTGCTGTATGTAATATATTGCAGTGTCCTTGATGCAAGAACTATAAAGACTCTTAAAACAAACGCGATTATATATGATATTTATGTAATATCATAAGCGCATATATAAATTATCACCACTTTATGTTTATAATTATATCTGCATTTATAAAACCATATCTTTGCACATTATTTTATACCCTAAATTGGATGTTGAAAAATATTCTTGCAGATATACAAATGTACAATTTTGTTTGATAACTTTCCCATATTAATTATCAGTTTCAGTTGTTTTGTGATCATAACATTTTTAATATTTTTTTTTTCCAGTAAATACCTTAAAACATACAATGTTCTGTTAAATAAAAAAAAAACGTCTTTATTGAGAATATATACAAAGATGTAATATATAAATGGCGTAGATATAAGCGATTTTCTATTAGACATTCTATAGACAGTTAAAACAAGTGAAAAAATTACTAAATATGCATACATTATTTGCCTTTCAATATATGTGTCAATGATTATACTGCCACAAAAATAATAGGTCATATTTGGCATGTACTAAACTTGATATATCGATATATCATTTACCGAACAATTATACCTCATGTAACAATGTGTAAAAATATTTTGTATGTGTATATATTGGAATTTGATAGAAACAATTTTATGGTAAATGAAAACTGCTGTATTTATGAGGTATAATATTTTATACGTNATATATAAATGGCGTAGATATAAGCGATTTTCTATTAGACATTCTATAGACAGTTAAAACAAGTGAAAAAATTACTAAATATGCATACATTATTTGCCTTTCAATATATGTGTCAATGATTATACTGCCACAAAAATAATAGGTCATATTTGGCATGTACTAAACTTGATATATCGATATATCATTTACCGAACAATTATACCTCATGTAACAATGTGTAAAAATATTTTGTATGTGTATATATTGGAATTTGATAGAAACAATTTTATGGTAAATGAAAACTGCTGTATTTATGAGNCCAATTTACAATAATGTTGAAATTGCAATGTCAAATTAATAAATTTTCATTATTAATATGCAATATAATGAAATATAATACAAGTTGAATAAAGAAAGTTGCAAATTTGTTTTTTTAAATATGAAATTTCATTCTATGTGGAATATATGGAATCATATGGTTGTCTATAAAATTTGTATACAAAATTTTGCATATTTATTGTAATACCTTCTCTTATTATCAGAAATATATATATAACATTAAAGGATAAAGGCTCTTTTCAATATTAACAAAATATAATTCTTTCCATAATTGAAATGTCTATATTACTTTTCTATGTTGCTCTCGAGTTACAATATAAAAATATGAATGTTGCTAAAATCAAAGTATGATAAACATTATCGGTTTAGTAGAAGGAGAATTTACATGTATCTAGATTGTCTTACATTATATGGACACTATATAGTTTATATGGTTGAACATTGTGATGTTACGTCAGATTATATTTTTGAAAACTGGATTTAGTTTCCGACGGATCGAGTTAAACATATAAGAGCCTAACAAAAGAATACGACTCATTTATCATAGATATCCTTTGACAAACTATACATTTGGAACAAAAGAGCCACTCTTCGAGAAAGATCCGTCAGTACCAGCAAGGTTTCAGCGCATGAGAGATGAATTCGACAAGATCGGCATGCGGAGAAGCGTAGAAGGCGTCTTACTGGTACACGAACACGGATTACCGCACGTTCTTCTTCTCCAACTCGGTACAACATTCTTCAAATTGTAAGTTTCAGCGAAGCTGTATAAGATTATGAGAAGATTAGTAAGGTATATATCCGCACATTGGAATCTCATTGCGTCCTCTTGTTATTCTAGACCTGGTGGAGAACTCAATACAGGAGAAGACGAGGTAGAGGGCCTGAAACGGCTCCTTACAGAGGTAACAGTTAGCACGACGCCTTACGCTGCCTTACAGGCTGGCTAGGAGTGGCACTTTGATTATGTTAGATACCGTAACATTGTCTTTATAAACATCATTGTACAAATACCCTGCAAATGTTTTGTAGAACTAATGTAACCGGGCCTGTAGCTCCGTATAAGGGGGCTTGTTCTTTTATTCTTATTAATATTTTATACTTGTAGCGTGCTGCATGCCCGGACAATTCGATGTTCGTAATAGTGAGGATATACATATCACTCGTTACATTGTATCCGGTTAGCTAAGAACATTGTTCTTATTCTCATTTCTTTTGTTATATGTTAGAAAAAGAAACGGAAGAGGTATGACACGGAAGAATGTACAACAATAAGAAGATTGTATACGATATCTTTCTTGAAATTTTTGTAAGCCCGGAGAGCGGTTTAGACATCGAGGTAGGGTTAGAATCTCCCTGTAAGAAGAAAGTATCTGATCGGCACGATGAATACGTAGGTCTAGCTCGAATTCGTCTACGAGATTGTTAGGCCACGGCGCAATTAATAAACTTGACTGAATTCGTAATTTCTGTCATATTCTTGACTGAAACTGTCGATGTGCGTGTGCAACAGCGGTTTTGTCTAATTAGGGATCGGCAAGATACGTGATAAGAAACTGTAAGTGTCGCATACACGCGTACACGTGCTTTCGGCAAACAGCCGTGTGCCAGCTTTTAGATTTTAAAGGAACACGCTGTTACATAACGATTGTTAATTCGAATATTGTTAAAATTGATGTCATCATGTGACCGCCGAGAGAGAATGTTTCGAGATTTGATAATATTTGTGCAACCATGTTCTTAGTGGACTGACCTAAAGAAGAATGTACTTTATTTCATAGTTCACTCGCGAGGTTCTGTATCAGTACAGTATCAGACAACAAATTGGATTGATTTCTAGACTTTTGGGCGGCAGGATGGAGTGAAGCAGGAATGGGTTATAGAAGACACCATTGGCAACTGGTGGCGTCCGAACTTTGAGCCGCCCCAATATCCATACGTACCGCCTCACATTACAAAACCGAAAGAGCATAAGAGATTGTTTCTCGTCCAGTTGCAGGAGAAAGGTACATCGATAGACTTGATTGTAGGATTTACCGATTTGAAACGAATTAGTGTCGTAAGTGTACTAAGAAAATTTCAATTGTTTTAGCTCTTTTTGCCGTACCGAAGAATTACAAATTAGTCGCTGCACCGTTATTTGAATTATATGATAATTCGCAAGGATATGGGCCCATTATCTCATCTTTACCCCAGTCCTTGTGCAGGTAAGCCAAAGGACAAATCATGCAATCCAAAGAAACGAAGCACATCGCATTTAACTAACGAGATCGTTTTATGTTTCAGATTTAATTTTATCTATATGTGAAGTTCGAGACTTAGAATAAGAGAATCACAAAAACATGATAATTAGTTTAACAAGAATTACCTTAAGGATAGTCATATGTATGTGTGAGACGACGGATGACTTGGGGGGTACTTGTATGTACAGATATATTGTATGTACAATTTATGGCTGATCATAAATTAAATCATTTTTCAAATAGTACTTATCTAGTAGTATCTATATATATCCAACATAAACCTTGATACTTAATCGCAAGTTATATTTTGTTTTTATCTGATGATGCTGTTGTTAATATTAATAATAATGCTTAATAGATATGACTTGTAATTTTTAATTATATAATTTTAAGATGTATATATATTTACTTGACATTTTTATTGTATATTTATAAATATAATAAATTGTATTAATTTCTGACTGGAATAATAAGGGTATAGATGACAAGTCACACTATGAATATTTTGTGCTGTCTATGTATATTTTTAAAAGTTTTAAAAATATTTTCTGAAATATAATAAAGTATATGAGTCCGTGCATGCATAGTATGGTTGTTGGTCATTTTTATCTCCTGCATGATATAATATTTTCTTAAAATGAATTAATTTTATTCGCTTGTTAATTTCAAATTAAAGATTTTTAATTATGGGTGATTTTAATATTAACTAATAGTACTTAGATAACACGGTATTTAAAAGACATTTCAGGCAGAGTTGATTATGTGACGTTTTGAAAGCTTTGGAATATTTTTAAAATGCATTTAAAAACTTTCAACGGCTCTTAAGAAGAAATGAAAAAAAATACATATCGATATATTAATTTTAATAAATTAGATTTTTATTACTGAATTTCTCTCTTCTTTTTTGTCATTTTGTTTTAATAAATATATTATAAATAAATATCTTATACATTACCTTAGGTATTTGTAAATTTTTCACGTTGACATTTAATAATTTACAATTTACCTAATAAATCTTTTTGTTGACTATATTTTAGTTATTTCTATTTTTTTTTAATCCAAGAAACTGCAAATTCCTCTATTATCGATATCAGTTGTACCAGAGGAAAAGATCGATATTTTACCGCAGGTAGTGTATCTCGTCTGTTCTACAAGGTGACGCTGTAAAAATAAATGCACAGTGTGTGTCTTCACTATATGTTACTTGTCATTCTGTACCAATCATTTTATGTGCTTACATCGCTGTGATAATAATGCACTTGTGCGTTTATGACGTTTACGTCATACAGTAGATGACTAACAAGCTTCAAAGAAATAATAGAAAAACCGGTCGTGGTATAAAAGGATTCTCGAGGTTGTACTTATTTTCCTTACTAATTTTTTATACTAAGCGATATTTCATGTATAATTTGCTTTTCTCACTTTATTCAAATAGCTTCAATATGATATAATAGCGTTATTTGGACTGTAAATCACTTGTGTTTAACACGGTTATGTATTCATTACAGAATACTGGTGTAATGATTTCGCTAAGAAGTCAAGTTTGATCGCTTTAAGGATGGAACATATAAAACAGATACTTTATACACTTCTTATCCTATCGGTATTCCATTGTACAACATCAACTTATTTTGGAGATGCATTTGCTCAGCAGACTGACGAGCCTGCTAGAATTAGCTGGCTCTTTTCCAACGCTGCTGTTACAGCTAAGAGGACTCAGAGAAATATACTAGAATCCAGAACAGAACCTGAGATTGAAGGTTTGTTTATGATCACAAACGGCAAGTGTCGTGACAAGTTAAATCATCTTTGCGGAGATATAGGGAGGAATAATGACGAACTCGTACTGCTTGAATGCATTCAGACTTTCAAAGTATGTATTTAATTGAAGGAGAAAAAGTTTAAGTCTAGCTGTAACACTAATCTAGGTCCGATACTAGAGGTCTAACAACCATCATTTTATAGCCTACCGAGATATCCGGAATTGATCAGAAGTGTCAAGAAGCAATTTGGGGCTATATCCAGAATATTACAGACAATCGAAATATAGAGAGGCTGGCTAGGAAAGCATGCGGTAATCAATTGGACAATCTGCAATGTTCTCGTTCTGACTTCATCCATGGATCGTACTTGTCTTGTTTGATCGATAAACGAGAAATGGTCAGAGATCCTGACTGTATCACATATATCCAGAGATTGGAGTGGATCGCTTTCAGTGACTTCCGAATTCTGACTCCCTTCAAGACAGACTGTGCGAACGACATTAAGAAGTTCAAGTGCGACAGTCTGCAGCCGTACAGAGATATATCGCAGGGTCAGATATTAGCGTGCTTGCAAGAACACGTTGAACAATTGCAGCAGGAATGTAGGAGGCACATTCTTCATGTGTCTGAGATCCAAGCAGAGAACATCAAGCTGGATCGCCAGTTATACATGGCCTGTACTCAAGATCACATTAAATTCTGTCCGAGGATCCGACCGGGCAGTGGTCAGGTGTATAAATGTTTGATGCAGCATAAAACTGACAGGTTAATGTGGACACGAATAAATAAATGTACTCTATTAACCCAAGTTTTAGAACATAGTAGTTTAACGATATGAAATTTTGAGTATTAATTTTAAGATGTTTAGCGACATTTAAGTTTTGATATAACACATAAATCTAAAAATTCTGCCCTCATATTTTTTAAAATGTGTTTCTACTAACAGATCGATGACCGGACAGTGCCAAGAGCAATTGACGAGGAGAGAGAAGCTCATTGCTTCTGATTACAAAATTAGTAAAGGTCTGGTCAAAGCTTGTAAGGAAGATATTAGGAATTATCACTGTAGACGATCCGTGTCCGAGGACAAAGAGATCAAGTTGGCGCAGATTTTGCTCTGTCTGGAGTCCGCCGTGAAGAACGGCAGCAAGATAGACGGGAATTGTCAGGCGGAAATGTTTGATCACAGGAAGCTCCTGATGGAGGATTACAGATTATCACCGGAGATCGTGGACGGCTGTGCCAACGACATCACAACCTTCTGCAACAGCCTCGAGGTTGGCGGCGCTACGATACATTGTCTAATGGAGCACACAAGGACGAGGAAAAAGAAGTCGAGAGTCACGCCAAAGTGCCAAAGAGCGGTAAAGAACTAATTTCTCCGAAAAAATCGAGGATCTTAGGATTCAAAGTTTTCTAAAGATTAATGTGCTCGTTAATAGTACAACCTCTCGAAGAAATATTATTTTTGAGAGAAAGAGAGAGAGAGAGAGAGATAGAGAGAGAGAGAGAGAGAGAGAGATTATAAATTAAAACATTCATACAAGATGTATATACATATTATCGCAATCTTATGAAATATTTTGCGTTATTAATTCCAGTTGGAGGAGTTAATTTTGGAAGCAGATGTCGGTGAAGATTGGAGAATTGATCCGGTTCTAAGGGAACATTGTCAGTCTGTGGTTAATGTAGCTTGCAGAGACGTGAGTAAACTTTACGTACGAACGTGAATTCTTATTCAGTACGTGTACTCGAGTCTGTGGGAATAAGCAAATTCTAATTTATAAGAGATTTTAAACTTTGGTTTTTTACCAAACATATTCTGCAGTGCTTTTGATAAATATAAAGTATAAAAATGACAAATTGATATCGCAACTTAGAACAACGTTATAAATAAAGGCCTGATCAATTCTTTAAGCTGAGCTGATACACATATATTAATTGCACATTTCATTTAGGTGCATGGTGGAGATGCCAGAGTAATATCTTGTTTGATGGAGCAATTAGGAACGGAAAGGATGACCGTAGCTTGCGAGACAGCCTTAGTGCAAATACAATATTTCATCGCTAGAGATTTCAAACTTGACCCACAATTGTACAAAGCGTGCAAATTTGACGCTGTACGTTTGTGCCATGCGAGAAATGCGTGGGCCAATGACGGGAAACAAATGGATCCAGAAACAGGACCTCTCGTTTTACCATGTTTGTATCGGCACGCATATCAGAAAAATATGACGGTAAGATCAATAAGTGCACGATAAGTCCTTAATTAAATTAGCTTAATAATCAAAATTTATGAACTATAATAATCTCTATGTTATATCAATAATTTGTTAACATTACTTTCGAAAATAATATTCTTGTTTCTGATCGTCTCTGTTTCCTTTATACTTTATTTAGTTGAAATCGGATTGCTTGGAAGAGATTAGGAGAGTTATGAGGCAGCGTGCTGTGAATGTCGACTTACAACCTGAAATAGAAGAAGTGTGTTTCAATGAGCTTGCATCTCTCTGTTATGAAAAAACTGCAAAGGGAGAAGAAATTCTTTGCCTGCAGGATAATTTAGACAAGTATTTATCATTTCAAATCATGTGTGAATATTTGTACACTTAAAGAAATTTGAGCTTATTTAATTTGATAATTCGCCAATTATCGTTTTTTAAGAAGGTCGAATACAAAAGTTTTGTTTTGTAAAATGTTTCCATCAAATTTAATAATAGAATACTTGACAAAAGATTATTTCAAACAAAATGTCCAGTTTCTTGTATATCGTTTTATGTATTTAATTCATAGTTTATGATTGAGAACAATACGATTTTTAACTATTTTTGCTGCTATTAAACTATCTCTTTCTTTCCCTGTCTCCCTCTCTCTCTCTCTCTCTCTCTCTCTCTCTCTCTCTCTCTCTCTCTCTCTCTCTCTTTCTCTGTTAGTTATAAAAATATTAAAATATAATTTTGTGACCCAATCTGCACTAATTATAGCCTGAACAAAAAGTGCAAGCTTGCAGTTGGAAATTTCACGGAGGAACAAGCGGAGCGTGTTGAGCTAAATCCGATCATCTCTTCAACCTGTCAACACATCATGGAACGCTATTGCGAGGTGAAGTTTTATATTATTAAATTTACTTTGTCTCTCTCTTTTCTATGATATTATATATATTTTAGGAGGTACTGAAATATGGAAAAGATGAGGGAGATATGATGGAGTGTCTTATTGAACACAAAAATGAGCTAGACGCACGCTCTGATTACAAATGCAAAGCAGCCGTAGAACATTTCCAACTGATATCCTTGAAGAATTACCACTTTACGTATAAGTTCAAGGAGGCATGCAGACCTTATGTTAAGAGATGGTGCCCCAGGTAATTAAGATCTGGAACTCAATGAAAAAAAAATTGAAGAACATTATAATTTAGATAAGATTCTGAAAAATTTTAAATATCCTAAAACTCGATAATGACTTTCGCATTTCTTGGTCGACTCAGATCGAAGACGAAAGCTGATGTGATAGCGTGCTTAAGTTTGATCGTGCAAGAGGACATAATGAAGGAGTCCCAGCATCGTGTGCTGAAGGATTGCAGACAGCAATTGCGGGCGCAACTTTATCAGCAGCGGGAAAACATTCGTTTTGATCCTATCCTGCAAACATCCTGCGCAACGGATATCAAACAATACTGTTTCAATGTGGAGCCGGGAAATTCACAGGTAACGATTGTTGTCTAATATAAAGTGGCTATCTTTTGTCTTTTGTGTTCATATATTATATATATGTAATTTTTACTTGAAAGATTTCAAGATTGATAATAATTGTGTGTATACGATTATTATATATTATGAATAATACAAGAGAAATGATTAGAGAGTAAATAAGTATTTGTTCCTTTTTTTTTTTAAATATTTGCAGTGTTATAAAAAGTTATTTTCGTTGAGTGATGATCTGAAGCAAGTTTAATATAACGACTGCGTTGAGAACTAAGTTGTTTTCAGGTACTAGAGTGCTTAGCGTCACACAAATCTAAGCTATCCGATGTGTGCCACAAACAGCTGTTCAAAGTGAGGAAGCAGGAATTCCAGGACAGCTCTAGTGATTTCCCTTTACTGAACACTTGCCGAGTCATGATCAGGCAATACTGTCACGATGTGAGCAGATCGCAAACGTTGGATTGCCTTAAGCGATACAAAGACGAGCTCACCTTCGACGACAAGTGCAAGAACATTGTGATTCGAAGAATGATTGAGCAGAATACGGATTATAGATTCAACAACGCGTTGCAGAATGCGTGTTCCTACGATATCGACAAGCATTGCAAAGAGGTAGATTTTAATTACAAATTAGGATTAAATTTGCGCCAGTAATAATCTCATTTCACTTAATAATTAATTATCTCATTTAACTTGATAATTAATGCGCGCATGGTATTTTAGGTACTGGTACACGAGCCTTCTGACAAAGAGCTTGAAGGAAAGGTCATAAGATGTTTGAAGATCAGATTTCGTGAATCCAAACTGACCACAAAGTGCGAGCATCAAATGGCTAATATTCTCCGAGAAGCTGCGCTGAATTACCATCTAAATCCATTATTAGCAACAATGTGTGCGCATGAGGTAAGATACGACAGAATTACAGTAGAGAGTGCACAAACGAGATCAACTAAATACAAGCTCATGAAATTTGCCTTCGTCAGATTGAAACCATATGTCGTTCGGAGGAGAACGAGCCAGGCGCCGTTGAAGAATGTCTTAAGAGAAAGTTTAATGCCGGAAATCGCGACATGAAGGAAGAATGTCGCTTAGAGGTCGCTGATCTTATAGAGCAGACGAGAGCGGATATCAATGTGGATCCTTTGTTGCAGAAAGCTTGCGCCGTCGATGTCAGCAAATACTGCAGTGCTGTTCCCCAAGGCGCTGGAAGACGTACGTGATGTGTTTCATGTAGAGTTTTAAATACGAAGATATTTTTTATTATGAATTATTTTTTTATTATGCTTATTATGAATTTGCATATTTAATTTATCACATGTATATAACTAACAATATGGCAAATGTAATATGGAGAACGATTTATTAATTATTGTATTATACATACAGATATAATGTGTCTACAAAATGCGTTGGAAGATAGCAACAAGTCTTTGCAACCCGATTGCTACAAAATGCTGACTACCAGAATGGAAATGTTTAAGAATGCTGCCAAGGTCTGTAAAAGATATCTTTATTCTCGACGTATTGATTTTTCTTTTTATTTTTCAATAATCCGAGAACGATTGCGTCTTGTTGCATACTTTTGCAGTTGATCGCGCCGAACACCATCGAGGAGCTTTATATGACAGTGAATGGCTCCCCTGCGCGACGTTACTTCATGATTGTCGGCTGCACCATGGTTGGGATTATTTTTATCATCGGAATGTTCTGCGGCCGAGTGACCAGGCGGACGATGATCATGAAGAACAAGTGACGCCGCGGGCGTCCGTCCACTAGTAAAATGACTTTCGTGAGATTAGCCGAGGGACAGAAAACGTAAAATGTAACGGGTCAACTCTTTTGCGTAATACCACGCAAAATGCAAAGTTTGCGATAGACGAAAGGAGGTATCGATCTTTTTATACATTCGTTTATCAGATTTTCGAAGTGCCACTCTTTGTATTTGTATGATCAGAGACGGAACCGGAGATTTTTGATGTTGCTGTTATGCACAAGTGGCGTTGCAAGATTGTAAGAGTCGGAAGATACTGGTATCTAAAGATATAAGGAGAGGTAAGGATTTAAATATTCAGAAATATTACGTTACTGCAATATCGTGATCCTAAGAATACAGGGTGTTTTATAAAATTTGCGGCAAGCTTCGGGAGCGTCGTTACGTTTATCGGAAGTAACGTTCCTGGAACTTGTTACAAAAGTTACGAAACAAGCTACGTTACCTAATTATAACTTTATATTCTGTAGAATGAGATTTATTCGTCGCGAAAGAAGGTAAAGAAGAATTATATTAACTTTGAGCAGGATCGACTCTAGGATTCTTTTCTTTTTCCTACAGAGAAGGGAACAACGCTAATTTATCTTTACCTTTGAAAAAAAATTCCTTTGAGAAAACGGGAAGCAAGAAATTATTTAACGAAATAATATAATTAACTGTATTCGTTTTTAATGAAGAGATAACTTTAATCAGAAAAGCAATATGGCGATATGCTGCCTGTTGTATAACTCGTTTCGTCGGAGCCTGGAGTTGATCTTGATTCGGAAGATCGTATGCAGAGTCTCGCGCGCGCAACAAGAAACTACACAAATGTAACAATTGGAAGGTGGCGGTCCAATTCCCTCTCCGCTGTCCCTCGGGACTCGCTGAAGCTTTGTAATGCAACGCGTGAATAAGAACGTGTCCGAGGGTTCCTTACCGGAACAGTTCTTGGTAGTGCCGGAGAAATAACCGTGCGATGTTCGCGAGTGAATTATTCCCGTGGGACAGACGTGCGAGCTGACGATCCCGCCGGGACGACTCCGCGTACGGAGAACGAACACAGAACGAAATACATTTGTCGTCAACAAGCGTGTCTCGATGTCTAAATTTTCTGTACGTTTGTGATATAAAGGTTCATTAAGGGAACGAAAATAAAGTGTCTGAGATTGATTTCAGTCCAAAGATATACCGGGCACAAGTTATCTCAGTCTTCCACATTCAAGCTTAAGTTCCTCATCAATTTCGGAAAGGATATATCCTGGACGGTGTCCGACTGATTGTCGCGTCTTCTCTTGACCATAGATTCCGAGTGACGAGAAATTCTTCGTGGCTTTATTAACAAGAATATATAGATGAATATCAGAGAGTTGATGGATTCTAGTAGATGATGTTTTGGTAGATTTAGTTCAAGGATTGGATATTTGTAATCTTCTTGAAAAGAAAAAAATCGTTGTAGATAATTGTCTTCCATATGAAAGTGGAGTTACAAATGATTAAATTATCATTATATTTGAACTATATTAAATTATGTGTAAACAAGCGTATTTGCATGAAATTGTTTAGGAATCTATATCAGGAAGAAAATGTGATAATATATGACGGAGAAAAACCCTGTATGAATAAAAATTTATATCTTTATCTCGTGTGTATAATATTTCTCCATGTAAATATTTAAAGATTATAACATTTTTATTTGCTTTAAAATATATATCTACATGTATATAGGTGTAATTGAATATAAACGGTATAAATTATTGACCAGGATTCTAATCATTTTTGGAAACAAATAAATAACTCGAGTAATTACGTATTAATAATGTAAAAATGACACTAAACTCATGAGTGTGCGCTTTTGCAATAATATTATGTATACGATGATGTAAAACCTTTATCACAATCAGAGCATTAAAAGCAAAATAAAGAATTAGCGTAATTAAAAAAAGAACAAAAGAGCGCTACGTGGTCGCTAAACGTTGTTTATTTGAAAATATACTAATGAAAATGTTACTGGAAAGATCGGATTAATCGCTTATGCAATTTTATCTCCGACATTAGATTCCATAAAAATATTGATATTGTTGCATATTTGTCACGCGATGCGTGATACGAGCGAACAATATATTTATAACATTCGGTGAGTAAACAAACATATTCGGCGCGTTGTAACGTGATAAAGGATGCTATGTTTATATGTTTATATCGCGCCGCGCTCGAGTGAAGTCGATCCGAAAGTCGCTCCACGTATTTTTTCGCTCGTTTTTCTCTCATCGTCGCGGGTGAGTATCGCCTGTGAAATATCGCGAGCGAGCAAATTCCCTCGAATGCTCGAATGATCGTATAATAGCGTTAATTTGCGCATGCCGTTACGATTAACCGTGTATCTCGATATTCGCAATTATCCGCGTTGATTACGTATCGGCGACGCGGAATATATGCCGATGCCCGTCCGTAAAAGTAGGTAAATTAAAGCGAATGGGCAGAAGTTTAATCCGTGAAATTGAATACAAATGTTTTCTCGCAACTCGAGAATCAACTCGAGAATGGGCTAATTTTTATTTGTTTCGCGCATCGATCTCGATCTGCGCCAACCCTGTTTTTGCTTATGTAAGTAGAGGCGTTAAATCTATCGCTAGCCTTTTAATTTGCTGATCTTTTCGCTACACTGATTAACAGCTGAATTACAATCGAGATATTCATTTATTCGCTCTGTGTAAAAAATGAAAAAAAATCGCAGAATGCGATAAAATCGGTCTTTAATTTTGAAGATTAAAATTCTACTAAAATTTGATATGAAACTTTACATACATTGAGAGGAAAAATATCTAAAAACAAACGAATATTTTTTTGGCGGATCCTCACACGATATTATACTTAAATCTAAATTTACTTTATTTAAATCGAGTATTATTTACTTAAACTGAGTAAATAATATATACTGTTTTTAGATATTTTTCCTTTCAGTGTAGAAATAATTCCTATTGATTCTTATTAAATCTGATTGAATTCATGCTCGCTTCGTTTTAAATCGTTCATTTTTGGCGGGCAGGAAGGACATTATATCGAAGACTGATGCTTGAAGTTGCCGATATTTGCACTTGTTGATTCGACTCTTGAAACTTCGATTGAGTTTAATATATCGATGCAACTTCATAGTTCTTTCTCACCAATATGGCCGCCGGATGAGATCGATGGAAGAATTTCGCGTATCAAATATCTTGAAATATGAAATCGGTGTAGGGAAAGATCGCGATTCGTCATATTCGGCGATGTTTATTCGTTAGAAGCGAATCGGGCGTGTAAATGAGTTGCGATTAACGCGTGAAACGCGAATTATGCGCGATTATAATCGATCATGTTTTCCGGGTTATGTCGTATTAGTACGCGAAATGTGGATTGGAAGGAAGAGATGCGGTTCGGGCGGAAATTGGCGGTGAAGAAGTCAGGCGACAAGATACCACGATATACGGTGAATGAATATTCATTGTCATTTGTACGATAAATCTATTCTTTTTGGCATTGCGTTTTTAGCACTTTATGTATATATTTTATGTATATTCCAGTGAGACACTATCCAAAATCGGGTATAAACGTCATAAGACATAAGTCATCTTTAGGACGTCTTTAAGACGCCTGATTTACTACTGACTTACTACTATTTAGATATCTTGAAGACGTCTTAAAGATATTTCAAAGACGTCTCACGTCCCGATTTTAGACATTGGGCTGCCTGGGTGGAGTTCCACAACGATTTGGACACTTTTCTTCTTGATGCACTTCGGAACGCAACAGACAGTCCAATCAGAGCACTCATTTCTGGAAAATAACCCAGGCGGAACGAATAGTCACGATAACATAAAAACGAGATAATGATCGAATCGTAATCGAAAAGTGAGTATTTATAGTTAGTTTCTCGTCATTTTGACGTCATATTGACATCATCGTGATTTTTCGTTCTGTCTGGGAACTAAATTCGATCTGAGAAGTTTTCTCTTTAGAGTCGGCTGCATTCCGAAGTGTGTCAAGAAAAAAATATTCAAACCTTTTCGTTACGGAATCCAGTCAGTCACAGGACGGTTGCAATATTGATTTTTAACAAATTTCAAAACGCATCTCATATCCGATAAGAGAATTCATTTTTTAGTAATGTTCAGGAAATACATTTTCCTATTGGATACGAAATGCATTGCGAAACTCATCGAAGAAAAAATGTTGCAACCGTCTTGTGACTGACCGTACTTGTGACTGACCGTACTTGTAAGTTTCTTTATTTCTTCCGTTAAATTTCCAGTGTATGTGTATGTGTAGTGTCAAGTATATGTGTATGTGTGTTTCATTTGAAGTACAGAAAGCGACACAGTATAAATAAAAAGGAAAGACCTCAGGTCTACTCGCGTCGTACTTTCTATACTTTTCTACACTTTCGTTCTTTTTCTTTCCTCTTGTTCAAACCACACGCTACATTCGTTTCGCTCTATAGCGTGTTCGATCCACACGATTAGGTCGAGTCCAATTAAGTTCAATTTTCTTCTTATTTCGTTCGAAATGTATTTCGCATCCAAAAATGTGGCCGTATATAAAAACTTGTTTAAAAATAAAATATAAAATACTCGAATAGCTGAAAATAATTAGTGGCAACGCATATATGAAAGATATATTTATTCATGCATTTAATATTTCTTTACAAAAAGTAATATTCTTTTATAAAATTATATTTTGAGAGAAATTAATAAAAGATTATCCTTATATATAAAAAAATTCACAATAATATTTAATAATTTTATATACCATATTTTAAATTTTATATATCATATAATACGTAATATTTTTTAAATCCAAATTGACCGTAAAACCCATAAAATAACAATATGTTATGTTTTAAATATTCAGAATATTATAGAATTCTCGCAAAATGTCGTTATTTCCAACGAAATATTTTTTGTTAACTCAAACCGTTGTAATATTGATAGTACAAAATAATGCAAGCTGTTGCAAGTTGTTAGGAAATAGAAGGCTTTGAGCAGAGTAGAAATTGCAGATTTACATAAATAATACAACTTTTCATTCATCGTGATCATTACGTTAATAGAATTTTAATTTAGGCTCGAGATATTAAGAGAAGCTGAATATTGATATTCACAAAATTGTGGCGAGCAACGATCTCGAATAATAATCCTCTTATAAAAAAATTAATATCCAAGGAGATATTGATACTCTGAAAGATTGATATGAACGTCTTCCGTCGCTGAGAAGAAAATTACGATATCCATATTGCCGCGTATTCCGGAATTTATTCCGAACTACTACTACTGCGCTCGGTACATAGTCTAAATATGCTGGCTGGAAGAAAAGCATATTTCGAAGCTATAATAAATCTTACTAACTTATCTTACTAACTAAAGCCTTCATAATTGGTTTGGTAAAAAGTATTGCTCGGAATAACAAAAATGTTCACGTTCGATTGCGACTCGCGAATTTCATGGGTAATTTCACGGATAAATTTCGTTTAACTTGTTATAATTATTGCACGGCTTACTTTATAATGTTTTATTTAATTGATTTACCTTAAATATATATATATATATACCGTAATTAGTAGTTTCACACCTTTATCGAAATGCAATTGCGCGGAAAATTGAATTAGCGGAAATTCGACAGGGTCCGTTGAATAAGGGCTTTTTCAAACAAGCCTACTGACAACTACAATCAAATATCAGCCGTTCCATTTAAATAGGCTTCCATTTATTTTGCGTACGAATTACTTTTACGATCTCAAATATTTACAATTCGAAATAGGAAATTCAGGGGAATTAAACGAGTCGTATGAATAAAGATGGCATAAATGTTCGTGGTGTGGAAAGTAGAAATGAAAATATATAAATATTCAAAGCATCTGCGGATCAGAATAACCAGCTGACCTGTTAAGGAATACTAGAGAATACAATTTAGAAAATGCCGTCCGGAGCCCGAGCAGCGAAATTGTTATTGGGATACATCGACCCTTTGAGCTGTTACGTACAAAATTCCAACAGTACCACGAAATTAAGCGAAAACGAATAGCAAAAATATATTTTACGTATTCAAAGCGGAGTTGCAAACTTTACACTTGTCGAAGCGATTGTTTTCACAAATAATACATTTTTATTTGCGTTCTATAAAAAATGTATTTATGCTTTCGTTTCTGAAAGTAAAGGATTGTAACTCGCGTTGCGGTATAACACGGTGTAACAGACTAAAAAGCCATGTTAATCGAACGTGAATAAAGCCAGCATAAAGCGAATGAAAATTTACTTACGTTTGATAAGCGCGTGTAAAACATTTTATTCATACTTTTGTAGCAGTTGCTACAATCTTTTACTGTCAGAAGCGAGAGACCTGTAAGTTCAAGCGTATAAACGGAGAGAGAGAGAGGGAGAAAGAAATATGTGCTCTGAATGTACATATATTTTTCGTATATTTTTCCGACGATGAAGAAAGGCAAAAGCATTTACTCTGCTTTATTCATACGTCCCGCTACGAGGCATAAAAATAACACGGAGGCAAACAGTAGCAAAAGATTAAGATTAAGATCTAGACTAAGCATTGGAAGCGGAAACCGACGCGCAGCTCGGTGCATTGGTGAGAGAGGGGTAGATCATGCGCTCTGCATTCACATTGGTTCTCACGAAGGGTGGCGGTTTTCCGACCCTCAGTTTGACGCCGCGTGCGAGCGCATGAGGAGCCATCGCGCGACCGAAGCCGCCGACTCGCGAGAAAGAGAGTTCGAAAAAAGTCGTTTTTCCAGGGAAAAAGATTCGCCGTGAAATGATCCCCCGCAGGATGAGTCCGCACGCACGATTCATCGATCCAACTTGAAGCCGATCGGTCGGTCGGTCCGAAGAGCGCGACAGAAAGAAAGATACCGTCGAGAGAAAGATACCGTCGCTCGTTAACAAGGTGGATTGCATGCAGCCGTCTTAGGGATCATGAAAATACAAGCACACGGTCGCGCGACTGCAACCGCGCGTTGACGTACAGTTAATTCGATTATCCCAAGTCTCTCGGATATTTATGACAGATGGACGTTTACGAGCGATTCACGTGTAATTGTTCGGAAACGATTAATGACGAGCTTAACGCACAAACGGCAGATTTAATTAGAACTCAAAACGTTATTGCTGATCAGTCGGAAAAATACCGCGCCGTTTTCGATTGAATTTCGGCGAGTTTTGTTTCGCTCGCGTTTGATCAATAAAGAAAAAAAGCACCGGGCATTGAAAAAAGGCACGTGCGAAGACCTCTGGGAAAATCGTTGCAATCGAGAAAGCGGAATTACCGATCACTAGTTAAGAATGAACGTACTTTAAAGCGACTTTTTCACTTGAACAGGCAGCGTGTCAGTGTGGAGTAAATTTTTTAAATCTCGTATCTCGGCGCCTTGTCTAGTGATTTTGTGATCGGAATACTAATTTATGATACGAGCCGGGAAACAGATTATCAGAAAAATTAGATTAATTTTGCAGTGTATAGAACATCATGCGCGACTGGCGATTTACGCTTTTAATTTTTTCCTAAGAATCTTCCTTTATACAATTTATATTATCGGTTAAGAAGCAACCGTTTGACGTGTAGGTCGGATTTTTGCAGCTTTTATTTTTGTTTCCGGCCGTTTTCCATTCGTGAAAACGTCAAACAGAATACCGGAAAATTGCTATCGGTAAAATCAGTCTAATTATCTGACGTTGCTGCAATCTGACAGATTAATAACATTCCGACGTAAATTGAATTTTCGCGGTCTTCAATATTTTGCCAATTATGATGAGTGAATTAAATTCTATTAAATCGCGGAACTTTGCTTTATCCCGCCCTCAAAAAAAAAGATAAAATCGGATTATTTAACCGGTATTTGAGCATTGAGTACATCGCAAAGCTGCTATTAATTTGCGTAATTATAGAACAATGTGCCCATACTGATTCAATTTTCATTAATAAAGGTAAAATTTTACGGCAGACTTGTAGCATGAATTTTGTAATGACGTAATATCTGATAAAATAATGAAACACGTTCTCTTTGATTTCTCCGATATTTCCGGAACAATTGATTATCGTATAATAATTTTATGATGGTAGATTTAATTTGAGCTGATTCCGGCTGCCGCATTTTTTCGCGTTTTGTATCTCATCAATATTGAACGTTAGAGCAAAAATCGCGGGAGAAAATCGCGGATGTAATTATTTAACAAAAATATTTATTTCAGTTGCTCGGTTATTCTCTCACATTGCACCGCTTATTTAATTATTTAATGAACGCGCGTACGAAATAAGTCTCTCGCGCAAGTATAAACGCAGTTACGCCGATATTTGACCAAATGAGCAAATTCACTAAATTGTAAAACCGGTTGACCGATCGGACAGCTAAATATGTGTGTTTTCTAACGAAAGATGCGCAACAATGTCCGGGATATCGAGGTCGTTACTAATTGCCGACGAGATGAAATGGAGGCGTGCGCTCCTGCGGATAAATTCGTCATGTGCCAATTTCCCGAGAAAACCGACCGCCGTTATGCCGTGAAAATCTGCGCTTCTCCAGCTGTAACGGATCGCGCGCGATAATGCGCGATTATGTGATTATATGTGCCGTAATCTAAGATGACGCGCGCGTGAATTTCGAGGCCTCGGAAAAATCAGCCCCGGAAAGGACGCCGCCAGTCGGCAATCGCGATTGATCGCGACGTGTGATACAACCACGTGTGGATCCGGCCGTTGGGCAACTACCGGGGAAACGTCGTATGTTGGAATCAATGAAGGAACGCTTTGTATCCCTCTTGTTTCGGATCACGAAGGATGGCGATCGCGCGACGATTGCGCGATAAAACCGTCGATCGATCACGACGATATGGCCCCGCTTTCGTATCCGCGCGGAGATCGCTCTAATAAATCAAATTCAATTTGACATCGCCCGAGAGAGAAAGAGAAAGTTAGAGAGAAAGAGGCGAGAGAGCGAGAGAGAGAGAGAGAGAGAGAGAGAGAGGGGAAAGGTGAAAAGGGAGTGGGAAGAAAGTGAGATCGCCGAAAGGCTTTTATCTATGAGAGTGCTTCATCACATATCGCTGATTCTCGATCGCGATCGGTAATACGTTAACGTCGCGATCGACGGTCGCGAAACCGTCGGTCCGTGAGTCGAGTCCGCGAAAATCATCGTCGGGGCGACAGAGAGATTTCGAGATCGACGGCTTCCGCAACACTTCGTCTACACGGTCTGATCTCGAGGACGACCGAATCCGTTCGTCGCGAAGGATCGGCAGTCTACATTCGCGAACGTTACTGTTGCTCGTAAAAAAGAATAAGAGAAACGAGAAATAGTGACGTGAGTCACTAGCGGGCGATAAACCCGGTTGCCCGAGGTTTCTGAGGAGCTACTGAAGGGTCTATTACGGGGCTCTCTATTGAGAACCATAAGTTCCGGCGGAACGTAAGATCGCGGAGATACGCCGCGAGAGGATCTATCGAGCTTCCGGTGAATTAAGGAGAAAGGCAAGGTTGCTAAGGAGAGATGCTCTGAGGAGCCATTCTCTCTTACCGCGCGCGGCAATGAGACCTGCGGTTTAAGGAGCGGAAAGATTCCCCCGGCATTGTTAAAGCGCTCGTATCGATCTACGACAATCGAATAAAATATCGCGTCGTCGCTGCTGGATGCTGGAAGCCGGCGACGTTGAGCGCGAATGTCGCCGGGAAGTTCTAATATCGATGTTAAATTGATCCCGCGGGGGAGCGGCCGACGCGTGCGCGCGAAAAGTTGAATCGATCTCGAGGAATGCATAAATCGCGCGCCGATGTTGACGGCGAGTCGGGCTATTAGAGCGAGGACGACGATCGCGTCGTAGGGATGCCGGGATCGAGGAGGAGCGGGAGGATGTAACAAGCGGACGGTTGCGAAACGGAAAGATGCGGAGCGGCTGAAGATGAGTGCGTCAGGCTATTGGTGCGCCCTCATCCTGCTGACGTTCACGCAAGATTCCCTCGGCGGCAGCCACTACGAGAAGCCCCAGATCGAGAAGCCGAAGGAGTATCTGCGGCATCAGCAGAATCACCGCTCGTCCCTCGCCGACCGCAAGCTCTTCGAGCCGACGGGCTTCGCGATCCGCACGAACAACCCCGCGCCTCCGGCCGAGGACATCCGGTCGGATCGCGCGATGGCGCAGAATCACGTCTCGACGGAAACCGACCGGCCCGCCGGGGAAGCCTCGATCGCCGCGGAAACGAGTCGCGCGGAAATTCCGCCGACGGCGGAGCGTCACGGAACGCCGGAGACCAGCGCGCCGACGGAGGTCGGCCGGCCGATCCCCTGGGCGGAGATCGAGCAGACGGAGATCGAGCGATCGCAGATCCGACACGGGAGGTCGAGGAGTCACTTCGCCAGGCAGATGATCGAGGACAGCTCGAAGGATGCGGCGAACTCCGGCCGGTCCTTCGACAGGATCAACAAGAGCAACGTTCGCCAGGAGGAGCAAGAGAGCCGCTTGAAGGCGCGCCGGGCGGACAAAACGAGCGATTATCAGGAAGGATTGTCCGTCTACCCGTCGAGGCGCAATCACTCGTGGCTCCTCGAGCGAAATTCCTCGAAGGACGCGAACGGCCAATCTCTCGATCGAGCCGAGGACAACGTTCCGGAGGGGCCGGAAAGTTTGCTCAAGTTATACCAGGCAAGAAGGGGAAACATTCCCGATGAAAGCTTCACCGTTCCCCTCATGCGCAATCACTTCTCCAAGGATAATTCGGCGATCGCCGGCCTCCGAGCCTCCGAACGGATCAAGAACGTGGCGCAGAAGGAGGCTGAGAGCGCGCTCAAAGCGCGCCATTCGGAGAATCACGGCGTTCTCCGTTCGAGCCCCGACTCCTTCAAAGATCCCTTCAAGGACGACCCGCTGAGCAAATTGAGAAAAGCGATGTCCTCGAACAAGACGATAGCCGCGTCGACGGATCGCAATACTACCGAAACGATCGGCGTCGACCCGACAGCCGAGGACACCAGCGAGTCCTCGCGCGACCTCGAAGAGGAGATCCTCCAAGACGTGGTGTTGGACTACACGAGCTACGAGGAGCCCGCGAACGCCTCCGATCGCGGCCGCAAGAGGCCGGAAACGGCTCAGGTTGACATAGTGACGCGTTTCCTGCGGATAATCGAGAATCAGCACACTCTGGGTGAGAACTGCACCGCCGGCACCGATCTGAATCTCGGCGAAGGCGTGGTGGACCAATACGCGCAAGAGAGATTCCGGCTCGAGGCGAATCTCGCCGTGAATCGCGCCAACATGCTCACCAGACTCTGGAAATACGCCCCGGAAGTGATGTTGTCCTCCGAATATTTGCTGCACGCGAGCGTACTCTCCATGGTGGAGTTCGACGAGGACATCTTCGCCGCCGGCAATTGCTACGACAAACTGCAATACAAGGACCGCTGGCTGTATTGCCCGTTCGCCCATCGGCTGCCAAATCAGGACGGCATTCTCGTGAAGGATCTTGCGATCGAATACAAGTACTTGACCAACAGCAGCGAGTGGTTCTACATCGCCCGGAAGAACGCCGAGAGGGTGATCGCCAGCTACGAGCAGTTTAGTCGAGGTAAACTGTTATTACTTAATATATATCGGCTTTATTACCGTTGTTATCGCCGATATGCGAGGAATGCGTCGATCGGGTTCTCCCGAGGACGAACCGGTGAATTAATCGAGCGAATTTCCCCTCCAGGAATATTGCCAAATAATTACGCGTATTATTACATCCGAGGAATACCTGAGGTGCACGGGAAAGTTACAGTAAATAAATAAATAAATATATATATATATAGAGAGAGAGAGAGAGAGAGAAAGAGAGAGAGAGGAGCCAGTATAATTATTATGTAATAGACAGGCCGTTAATATTGGCTTGTAAATAAAATCGTTACTCTTTGGGGGGAAGAGTTGACGTCGAAATCCCGTGGACAAAGTAATCTTTGCTGCTCATTAATTGCTCAGAGAGAAACCTATGATGAAATGCTCCCTTGGCGAGTCGGGAAATATTTGCGCTTCTGGTCAAACGATTTTACGGAAAAGTTACGTCAGTCTTTGCGAAGTTCGCGCATAGTGCACCTGACGACTCAGCGGTAGCCGGGGTCTTCATAATCTGTAAGCAGAAGTTTGCAAGTCGATGCAAAACAGGCGCGGGCGTTCGTGACTGCCCGCGGGGAACGTTACATCGTAACTATGCACCCATGTTAAAATCGACAGCAGCCAATTGGTTTATCAAGCAGCAGCAGTAGCATACAACTATAACAACAATAATTATAATTACAATTCAATTTGCAATACGTTCATATTATGAGGTGTCATTGCGTTACGATACGTAACCAATTAAATATTATGCATAATGTGCATACTAATGACTTTAATTAATTCTCTATTACTGTGATCTTTAATATTATTATTATTATATGTGTTTTATCATTGTTTGCTATAATAATTTATTTATGATGTATTAATGTTCCACGCATGATAATTTTATACTGTGTGTATATGTTGCCGAGATTACTGCTTCTGCTCCTCTAACAATTTTACCACCTCTTTGCACACTATTTTCACATGTATGCTGCCTTTTCACTGTCTCTTCTGCTTTTTACGCTCATGTACTCGTCAAGACGACGATGCTCACAGATGCCCGCAGGGCAGCGCTTACCTGCCAACCCGTTGATTAAATTGTTCTATTTTCAGTAGACGACCGTAATAATTACATTTTTCATTTAACTTGATTACGTTGTTCCACCGACCGTAAAAAAAGGAACGGGCGGCATGAAGAAAAAATATTACATCTAATAATTTTGTCCAGAATGTCTCTATTAATAAAATATTTATTACTTAATATTAATTTATTAAAATATTGAGAACAATCATATTTGCGGTCAATTAGTTGACTGATAAAAATGAGTAAAACGACGCCGTGCGGAATATGCATGGGAAACTTACGGGAACTTCTTTCTGATTACTTTTATGCAATAACGAGTTGCATGAAGAAGTTTACAAACCTCTCGAGCGTTCAAGCAACTTTAATTTACGGTGAAACGTGTGTAATCGTTTGTTTTCTACAAAAAAAATTCTCTGTTCTACATCTTGCGACATGCGAGAAAATCTGCGAGGGAATGATTCCGCGTTTTCCCTCCCAATGTAAAGAACACAACTTCATCACGTCGTAGTAAATATTTTCAAAGAAAATTTGTCGTGTCAATATCCTCTTTTTGTCTTAAGTTATTTAAGTTTGATTCGCGAAAAATATTGCTTTCTCCGGTAAACGATTTAAGCTTGTTAAGCCTTTACCGCGCAACTTTTTTAATCTCGCCGATGGGATGAGTGCTTTTCTTACGATGTGTGCAAGGAAACATAACGAGGAAGGAACTATAATAGGTATAGCGGAAAAAAAGGAAAAACCCGAGGAAAAGAGTGGAAAAGAACAAGCTGTTTTTTTTGACAATTTAATTATTAATTATATTTTAATTATTAATTATTTGTGAAATACATTACTGAAATATCCTTTCTCTCTCTGTCTTTCTCGTTTGCTGTATCTATTTCAACCAGATTAATATTTCTGTATTTCTGACACGAGAAGTTTTGTGTTAACGCAGAAATTAAATTATAAAGTTGTAAGCGTTTCATTCCGCGGGTTGTTTGATTATTTAACAGGACCTAAACGAATTAAAAGAACGGAAGGATATATTAACGACCTTGAAAATGTGTGTCATTCACTCATACTCGTGCGCGAAATAATCTCGCGAATTCTTTAAAATGAATTTTGGGATCTATATTGTAAAAATGATATTTAAGCGTTGGGCTTTTATTATCCATTAGAATTTTAGAGATACGAATGGAATACAAGTTTTCCTCAACTCTATTCTTTAAGTATCTCTTTCAGTTTGTCTTTCTTAATGCATTCCGTACATGCGTTTGATTTTAGAATTTCACATGCGCTATTTCAGAGTTGATATAATAAAAACGTTTCATGGAAAAATGAGAGATGAAGGGAATTTTTCGATAGAGAGGATATCTTTCGAAGAGATATCGGTTCCCTCGACGAGAGGAGGCGGGGCGGATTGCACTCACGATGATATTGAGATCTATGTCGGCACAGTAATATAGCTATATCGGCAGAATCTTCCAAAGTAGACATAGTTTAGCAGAGGACTCCTCAAGACAGAGTGTGTTCCTCAAGAAGGAGTCGACAGTACTCCTTGCACATATTGAAGCGAATCTGCTCCGGGCTAATTCCCAAATCACACTTTGATTTTCAGATATGAGCTTGTAGTTTGTGGGTTAATAATCTTATCCTACTGAAACGCCGGCATCCAGAAATTCATAATTGAACGCATTACCGGGGATGAGATTCCTCGGTGGAAGCGAGACGATGAGGAAACGTGTGTACAGTGTATATACGTGTGCGATAAACACATGAAATGTTCGAAATCCGTTTTATTTGGAATAAACGAGGAGGAATTTCCCGAGGGAGCTTTAAGAAGAGCGAAATCAAAGCAGCAGCTGTCCGAGAAATCGGCTGGCCTGCCGAAGCGGCGGATGAAGAATATCGATGAGTAATGCGTTATGACAATGGTAACAGCAGGAATACTGTTTCGCGGCGCTGCTCCTCTTATTTATAGGAGCCTTAAGCGATATTTGGTGATATGCCATGTCATAGGCTTCGCCAACGGGGGTAGAAATATGTGTTACATACAGTGAAAAGAGCTTGAATGCGCGTACCGTTGCGTATACGCCGCATTTGTTATTTATTTACTGAACGAAGGGACCCGACGAATGGGAGGGATGAGAATTTTATATCGCGAATTAATGAGAATCTCGTGCGCGCACGCGCGGAGCATTGAAACGCGTCACGACGGCTTCTCGCCTGGGGTCTCGCGATTCTTCGAAAATAATAATGCGACGAGACACGGACGCGCGACAGGAGGATTAATTCTAATGGCTCGCTCTTATCGTCTTCGGCATTCTCGCTGCAGAAACGAGGGACTTTGCGCGGTCGAGGACGGGTTCTGGAGAATCTCCAAGGGATAGCGAAAAAAAGAGATAACCGCAACGAGCCTCCCCTCGCTCTCCTCTCCCTCTTTCCCCTCTCGCTCTCTCCCCCCACCTTGCGACGTAACGCGAGTTCAAGAGTGTAACACACCATATATTTTCATTTTCGCCGGGAACGCCTCGCATGCCGCGAAATCATCCGTCATTTACGTCCGCACGCGGATCACGGGAGCTTTGTTACGCCGTTTCGTACTTGCAATACGAATTTAATAACTCTTTATGCGCGGATCCGTGCGATCGAAATTAGAAATTCAAATGATTCGATCGCATTTCGCATTCCGCGAGTGCTATCGGACACTTTGCATCGATCATTTCGTTGGCCGATTTTCAAGCGACTCGCATAATAAGGTGATAATCATCAAACTCGTGTTGATTATCCACCGATCGCGGCGCTTTCGCACGTTACGTCCGTTAACTATCGCTAATTATCCGATGGTTATCCAATTATTTCAATGAGATTTGCATAAGATGATAATAATTGTTTTCGGAGCGCCGTTTAATGCGAAGTAATTATTACACAATTAATTATCGATGATCATAATTGTCGGTCGCGCGAGTCTCGTTATTTCATTTGCGTTTAGAATGCTCGATCAACTGGCGGTTGTGAATGCGTCTCTCAAAATAGAGCAGGGAGTCTTAAATTATGAATATTCGTGATGTAACATTCATCCTAATCAAAATCTTGGACTCCCGAGTGTGTCTTCCTTTCTGCTTGATCTTTTATCGATTCGTCCTCGAAAACTTCTTCTGTCGATACCGACACGCGAATAATCGAGGCTCTTACCAGCGAAGAGAACCTCTTCGATTATCAACGGGTAGCGTGTATGTATGTGTGCATACATATACGTGCTAATGCCGTAGATATATTTTTATATGTATACGCCCCGAATAAGGAAACCGGGCAAGGAGCACGATCGATTGATTCGTGTACCAACTATCGAAAATAACTGGCCTTTTGACCTAAAGTATCAGCTGCAGAAACATTTAGCACACCCGCTTAACGTTGGTGCTAATTAGCACGTAAATCAAGCGCGCATTAATTAATGCATAAGTCAATCGCACAATATGTCGCCGAGTATCGGAAACATTCGGTGTTTATAGTCGCGATCGGTCCGCCCGACAGTTTGCCATTCGGACACAAAAAGCCAATGGCTAAAATTTACGAGAACGACGACGGGGAATCATTGCTACATTAAAACAATGCGTTAAAACGTGCATTAAAATGAGGTCGAAATAATATTTTGAATAATAATGTACAAGATAATATTCAGTTTCGTGAAGATACGTGAAATCGCTTTGTATAATTATTTCACCGGTACGAATGGATATTAATATCGGTTGTATCGTTACGTGATTCGTTTGGAAAAATCAATAGGACAAAGTCAGCGGATATGTGCGCGCATATACACGACTAAATGCATGTATGACTACATGTGCGCGTCGACTATAGCTCGAGGGATAGTTTTTTAACGTTCTCGAACTTATACGTGCATTATTGGATTTCAAGAGATACCG